AATGCTTGCCTTGTTGGCCTTGTAAGACTAATATTCCAGAGCAATTCATAACCTTCATGCTCTGTTGACTTTGTGGGAAAGATAGTTGATATTTAAAAGTTATCTGCAGATTCCAGTGGTGATGAATTTTGCAGAGCCAAATCGCCCAAAGGATGTTCGGGTGCAAGCATCCTTGTTTCTTCAGCAGCTTTGTCAAGCCAGGTCTTTTTCTTTCTCCGACATAGTTGATAGTTTCTGACATTTTTTAATAAATGAGTGGAAGGGACAAATGTTTTGGTGTACTAATTTCCAGTTTCCATCTCCAGCACCTTGACATTGCAAATGTTCATTGCGTGCCAAGGGATCCCTGTTTTGGTAAGCTTTATGGAGCCTGACTATGCAAAATACAGGCAAGTCTGCTGGTTTAATTATTCCTACATATTTTTCCTCTGTATTAATTTGTTTTAAATGCTTGGATCTAACTAATATACTGGAAAATATTTTAAATTAGCAGGGATATGGTTCATCTTGCAATTGACGGCATTTGGCAGGTCTTCAAGCTCCAGCATTCAACTCCAAGAAATGACTTCTGCCGTATAGCGGCAAAAAATGGGATGCTTCCTAGGCTGGTGAATACACTACACAGCCTGAACGAAGCAACAAGATTTGCCTCAGTCTCAGGGTCAGGTGCTTCAGTAACACAGAATGGCTCAACCCCCCGACGAAGATCTGGCCAATTAGACCCTTCAGTTCTTGAAAGTTGCAAGGCGCATCATCATCATTCATCTGGTTCTCTGCAATCTCTACAAGCAGATGCAGATAAACTCCATGTATTAATGGACTCCTCATCATCTCCTAGGTTCAGCGATAAAACCGGCAGTAACTTGGAGAGGAATGAGAACGACTTGGTTATTCGGCCACCGAGGCTTAGTGTTTCTGCCGGAAGGACATCTACAGACAGATCACCAAAGCACGTAGAACTAGTTTCAAATGGTCATAATAGCGGTCAAAATGACCAGGTCCGACCTCTACTGAGTTTATTGGAGAAAGAACCACCTTCTCGACATGTATCTGGACAACTTGATTACGTTCGCCACATATCTGGATTGGAAAGGCATGAAACCATTTTGCCACTATTACATTCATCGACAGAGAGGAAAACAAATGGTGAACTTGACTTAATGATGGATTTTGCTGGTACATTATTCTGTGCCCATTATTTCAGATGTTAGTCCTTAGCATATTGGTGCATCCTTCCATTGTGCATTCTGCTTTTCGCCTAAGTAGTTTGCTTTATGTTCTACTTTTCTCTCTTGAGTTTATATACTCTTTATCAAATGCTAACTTTTTCGGTTTTCATTACACATGGACAAAGAAACCTAAAAATAGAATATTTCTATTCGAACCTTTCTTTACTCTTTATAAGTTTATATGCTATCATATACCACATTTGGTTATAGTTCTAACGTTTTATTATTGAGACTTTATGTTATATATTTGTCTATTTGGTTTGCTTCTGGTTCCACTAAGTCCTTTTTCCCCAAATTAGGGTAGCTCCCCTATTAAAAGGAAGGAGTTCCTGGTTTCCAGTATTTGAATAAAACTAAAGAGAGTTACGGTATGACTATCCAGCACACTTTTGCATAATGTGATACACAAGTTAACGTGAAAGCACCTATGCTCTAGTAATCCAGTTACAGACCAAGTAAAAAGGGGAAACTCCTGGATTATAGACCTACAGTAGTTCAGGATCAGAGCTGACTGTTCACATCTCCTTAAAGTACTTGTGTACCTCGCTCAAGTTGGGTTTTCCAATATTCGAGTGTAGCATATGCTCTTTTTAGTGGTAAGGAGTGTGTGTACGAGTTTGCACACTTCCTGTTGGAGGGGTTCTGTTTTCGGACCAGTGCTTCCTCCATACGAAGATGTGCAGCTCTCATGCATATTTACTAAGTTTCTTTTGTGTAAATGACAAGTAATGTCGTACTTTATTGTAACACTCTAGCAGTCATTTGTGAACTGTAGAAACGATTTGGAGTACAGAAAGAATCATCCACTCCCTATTTGCAAAAGATGTGTAGCTTGTATTTATTTATGTGCTAATAGATTGGTTTTTGAATTTAATGCAGACGTCTCTAGACATGGAAGGGAGAATGGCCATCTGGACTCTAGTATAAAAGCTTCAAATAGAGTTCATAGTATGAAATATGCACCTTCGGCAAGTGCCTCTAATGAAGGGGCATCAACTTCTGGAGCTGCATCGCAAACAGCATCTGATGTGTTATCTGGATCAGGGGTGCTCAATTTAAGACCAGGGAGTACAACATCATCAGGCCCATTAGCTCAGATGTTCTCTTCCATGAGCGCAGATGTGGCACGTGAATATCTTGAGAAAGTAGCAGATCTTCTTTTGGAGTTTGCACAGGCAGACACCGTGGTAAAATCTCTGATGGCCAGCCAAAGCCTTCTTACAAGGCTTTTCCAGATGTTTAGCAAGATAGAACCTCCTATTCTCCTTAAGGTAAAAGTCTAAAACATTTAGTTTGTTCTGCTATGTACTTGTTCATGTGACTCAATTTCTTTGTGTTTGTGTTTGTTTGGTTATGGAACTATTTGTTCTTTTTGTGCAGATTCTTAGGTGCATTAATCATTTGTCGGGTGATCCTAATTGTCTCGAGACACTTCAACGCACAGATGCAATCAAACATCTGATACCGATTCTCGAGCTTCGTGATGGACCTCTGGTTTATCAAATACATAGTGAGGTGCGCAGTGTTTTTGTTAAAGACCTGCAACCAAGCATGATTACTAAGGAAAGAAATCCCACTAAGTAGCTTTTCAGGGCGTCATTTTCCTTTTTATATGGTGAAACATTTGGAGTCAATAGTTTTGAAAATTAAGTTATGGCCCATGTTCTATATCTGCTGGAGTTGGTCTACTACATACTCTCTTCGTTTCAAATTATAAGACGTTTTGGCTTTTCTAGCAATGTATATAGACATGGTATATATGTATATCTAAGTGCATAGCAAAATCAATGTATCTAGAAAAGCCAAAACATCTTATAATTTGGAATGGAGGGAGTATTATTCAAAGGGTGCTGCGGGAGTGGGAGTGGGACTATGCCTAAACGAGTGAAGTAACAATACTATACTTCATTTGATGCCTTGTTATAGCAGTATGCAATACATATCACATACTCATAGTTGGAGTAGCAAAACATCTAACTTATTGCTTAGAGTGAGAAAACTGTAGACAGCAGAACAGCATTGTCTACAAGATGACATGTGCTTGTAGCTGTGTTCTTTTTTTTTGTACCTTTTTAGTTGAAATCTGATGCTATTAAATGCTAACTAATTTCTCAGCAGATAATTTGCCTTCTTTTGCGCTATTTTCTGAGCACATAATTGACTGCCTCTGCCTTTCTGCCTCTAGGTCCTCAATGCTTTGTTCAACCTTTGCAAGATTAATAAAAGAAGACAGGAACAAGCAGCTGAAAATGGAATCATCCCTCACTTGATGAATTTTGTCATGTCAGACTCACCTCTGAGGCAATATGCCCTGCCTTTGCTGTGTGATATGGCTCATGCTTCTCGCAACTCTAGAGAGCAGTTGAGGGTTCATGGAGGGTTAGATGTGTACTTAAATCTGTTGGAGGATGATGCATGGGCATGCACGGCATTAGATTCTATTGCTGTTTGTTTGGCTCATGATAATGATCACAGAAAAGTAGAACAGGCACTGTTGAAAAAAGAGGCCATTCAGAAATTAGTGAAGTTCTTCCAAGACTGCCCAGAACAGTATTTTGTCCATACATTGGACGCTTTCTTGAAGATAATCACGTAAGTGTATAAGGCATATTTCCTGATTAGTTGCAATCATGCTGCAGATTACTGATCTGTACATTGTATACATGTTTTTGGCAGGAAATCTTCTAGGCTAAATACAGCAATGGCCACCAATGGTTTGACAACATTGCTCATTGCAAGACTTGACCATCGAGAAGCTATTGCCCGCTTGACTCTGCTGAAACTCATAAAGGTTTGATGCCTAGCCTTAGCTGGATAGTCCTGGATTTTAGGACGCTCACTGTGAATGAAATGATTCTTGTAGTTTGTAGAGTTTCAACTTTGTGGTTTATGTATTTTTCCAGGTTGTCTATGAGCACCATCCTCGACCAAAGCAGCTCATAGTAGAGAATGACCTCCCTCAGAAGCTGCAGAACCTCATTGAAGAACGCAGGGATGGACAACGGGGCGGCCAACAGGTGTTGGTCAAACAAATGGCCACCTCATTGCTGAAAGCGCTGCACATCAATACAGTATTGTGATTTTAGTGGGTCATGTGTTTTCCTCTCAAGTTGTATATGTTTGCCCTAGAGGAAAAGGTGTCTTTTTCTTTTTGCCTCCTTTTCTGCTGTGGTGATTTCGCATGAGCACCAGACTCCCTTGTTGTACCTGATCCCCCTTTTTTCTGGAGAAAGGTTCAACGTTTAGGTGCAGGATAAAATGAGCTTTCTATCCTTAAGGGTTGTTTATATTTAGCGTATGTTAGTGAAGAACTTGTAAATTAGACATCTAATTAAAAATACAAAACCCATGTTGACATTTTGTTTGATGTTAGTAAATTTTGCAAGATACTTATGGGTGTGCTGCAATTGGTCTTAAAAAATATATTTGGTATACAGCGCTTTCTTGCACTAAAGATAAATGGCTGATATTGTGGATCCACAAAGCACAGATTTTGATAGCGGCTGCCCAGAGGTTGCGTTAAGCTGAGCTGGTGTCCAGCCTCTTAGCAGAGTCCCGTTTAACAAGATGCAAGAAAACATCACAGGTTCTTTCCATGCATTACATTACATAATTCTTAAGCGTATACAATGAGATGATCAACTAATGCCAAATTCACAGCATACAGGACTGTTGTTTATTTCAGCTTCAAGAGTTCCATAAGGAAAATTTAAAACTGAAAAACAAGTATTCCAAACAATTATAGATGCTTTGTAGGTAACACGCAAACATCTATGCATTCTGAGCTCCATGTGCTTTCCAGAGGTTGTTCCATTCCACCATGGCATCGGCTGCTTCGGTGAAGATTGCATTCTTGGGTCCTAGCTTCTCACGGACAATTCCAGCTAGCTCCTTAACACAATCGTCAACCGTAACTGCAGTCCTCGATAGCTTGAGCGACTGGAAGAATGGAAGAACATCATCCATGATTTTTACGCCTTCCCAATCTTTCAAGCTCTCCAGAGCTTTACCTGCTTCTGCATCACTTCTCATCACATAAGGCAGTCCAGTCTTCACACCATACCCCAAGCTGTCGCAAACTACTTTAGCACATAAGCCATTCCATATGTCTTCAAGGGTATCCCATCTGTGCTTCCCTTCATTTCGGAGACGCAGGCCTGGGAACATAGCAGGCCCCAGCACATCACGGTTGAATGCAACATTTATCCCACTCACAGGCAGCATCGCACCAAGCGGAACTGTCATCACAGCATCCACATAGGTTGTGTTTCGTTGATTTCTCTTCACAACATGAGTCATTGGGTCGTAGTCAGCATTATGCATCCACAAACCACATGAGAGCATGCACTCAACCCCCTCACGCAGGCTGAATGGGTAACCACGGACAAAGTCAGCACCTTTCCTGTATGGATCATAGAGTGTGTTGAAAAAGAAAGGTGTAGCAGGTGTTTTCAGATTGGCCATGTGCTGTGCAACAACATCAACAGTCGACCCAGCAGTGTCCTTCGCTGGGAGGCAATTGTCATCAATTGAAATCACATACTTCTTGCGTGAGACAAGATACCCAAAGTAACGGCATGAGTGACCAGAGAAGTTTATGGATGAGGCACCAAGCACCCCATTAATATCTGACTTGGTGTAAACCTTGAGATCAAAACCTGTAGGGATTTGAAGATCCTCTGTCATGTCTGGATCTTTGATAACAATGATGTGGAAACGAGAGAAAAATGGCCGCCATGCCTCAAAGAAAGTGGTCAGGTTGGGCTGGAGTGCCGCAATCACAATGTCAACCTCACTATCTTGAATTTCCAAAGGCATCTTCTCAGGTAATCAAAGTGATCTAAGCAGCAGCAGGTCTAGAACCTCTCAGAGCACCCTGCAGACAAGCAGATGCCATGTCAACACAAAAGCTGATGTGAGCATAATAACTGAATGAACAAAGGGTAATATGGTGTAAACATACTTGTGGGAAGGACTGGTACGAGTGGCTGCTTAATGTTGAGCAACTGAACAGCCAAGATGATCTCCTCACAGCCGGTTGCTAGAAACAACTTGAGAACTTTCTCTGTCAGCTTACCAGCACTGAGGGTTCTCTGCAATAAAAATGCAAGAGCACATTACAAAACATATTCTATGTGTGTAAATATTGAATCGCTCGTAACATAAGAGGACATCAGTCCGCACACTCCTGTGAGGCTGCGATATGATTTCACCTACATCATCATAACTAGAAAATGATAAATGATTCCCAAATTCCAAATGTGTGGGTTCAGAAACCGAATTGTGACACTACTGTTTGCAAAGCTGTGGGCTTATGGAGTGCCTCATTATGACCATCATTAAAGCATCCCATACTGGTTCCGCACACCTTGTCAACTCGATCATGACTGATTTACCATAAATCCAATTCTTTTTAGGTAGCATTAACAAGATCAACTAACAAGGAAACACAATTAAAACTGCTGACACATCACTGCATTTGACAACTTTTAGCAAAGCGTGAGATCCCATAACAACTGATCGTAACCCTGGCTCGCCCCCTCCTACAATTCCACAAGTTCTATCAAACGTGCACGCGGCACAGCATGTAACTAGAACGGATGAGGCAGCATATATAACCACTGAACAACGGACAAGCGAAGCCCAGCCCACCATGATCAATCCGAAACTACCAATTCCACATCGCAAAATGTGCCCAAACCGAAACCACGCACGCGGACGTGTGGCCTTGGCACCAGTACAGGAACAGGATCAACCAGTAGTGGGGACAGATTCGAGAGGGGCGCAGGGCGCGGCGTACCTACACGGAAGAGGTCGATGACGAGGTGGTCGGGGAGGTGGGAGAGGTCGGCGATGTGGGCGATGCGGAGGAGCGCGGAGTCGAGGGTGAGGGAGAGCAGCGAGGGCGGTCGCATCGGCCCAGATCTGGATCTCGAGCGCCTTTTTATAGCAACTCTCCCCTCCAAGCAAAGGCGCCTCCCCCTCGCGGCCGTGCCACGCCACGTTGCTGCCCTCGATCCTCGCCCCCCGCACTGCTCCCCACGCCCGCTTCGTGTTGCGTTTGCCAGCAGGGCAGCGTAGGAGAGCCCGGCCGAGCCGAAGGCCAGGGAGGCCGAGGAGGCGACGACCGCGACCCGTGCACCTATCGGCGACTTTTCACGGCGTTTTCCCCGTCTCCCCCTCGTTTTCCCACGGTTTTCTGCCTTCCCCTTGTCGGTACGCTTTGCCTTCGTGATCCGAAGAGTGGTCACTTTGTGTGATGGGTGGCTAAAAATCACATCAATTTTGTATTTCTCGAGTGATATGATTTTCTTAAATTACATGATTTATATGATGATAGTAAGGTTCTATTTGTATCTCGTGGTCTAAAGTTTAGTTGGTTACTAAACTCTAGACCACTTTAGCATATTTTGTGAATGCTAAATTTTAAACATCACTTTAGATCACTTGCAGAGTTACAAGTTAGAAGTAACTCGCATATAGCAATAATATAGAGTTCGATTCCAAGACGTATTATTGTCATGTTTTTTAATTCCTACTAAACTACCCTTGCACCCTCCGTGTTACGTAGTTTACCTGTACTTATATGAGTTTATAAACAATTTCGTGTTACTTATGCAAGTTTACGCAACTCGCGTCTAGTGGTGATACGAGTTAGATGGATGCTTTTGCTTTGATGGATGCTTTTGCTTTGTCGTGCGGATTAGCCTTTTCCTTCTTTTCTTTTTTCTTTTTTTGAGGAAAGTGGATTAGTTAGTCTTTTCCGCGTGACGGTGTGAGGTAAGACTGGGATGGGCCGATATGGGCCCATTTTGTGGTCCACTTCGGGCGCAGCATGCAACGCGGCCGATTGGTGGTCACTCACTCGGACGGTCGACGCGCGGCGGTATGGCCCGATTGGTGTCCGGCTGCGAACGGCCCACGCCAAGTGCATCAGCCCAGGGCTGGCCCGGCACGCGCTAGACACCAAGGCAGGCGCATAGCTCTGTTTCGACCTCACAGCGTCGTCCTCTGCTTCTCAAGCGCCCGAGCCGCGCGCCGCCGAACCCGCCGCCTCCCCCAGCCTCCGGGCACACCGGAGCACGCCAGCCAGCCACACCACGACACGGCGGCACCGGAGGAACCCCTCCTTCTTGGTCGTAGCCTCCGTGGCCTCCCTCCCCCAATCCCTTCCGGTGTTGGATTGAGGGTGGAGCGGAGATCCGCCACGGCCTGGATTGATCTCTGGTTGGTAAGGAACCCTAGCTTGCTTGGGTGGATTCTTCTGAGCGCGAATTCGATTCCGTGATGTGTTTAAAATGCTCTGGCCATTCGAATCAAAATATTCCATTGTCAGCATCAGTTAGTAGGGGATTTTGCTGCTGCGTAGTGCAGCGCTTATCTAATCCATCCATCGATGCTTTGATTAGGCCCTTCCTCCTACGCACGATCGAGCCCAGTCAAGTCGACGCCATAGAGAACTTGGGATTCTAAGGTGCTGGTGCAGCTTCTTCTCGCAGAAGTTTAACCCCATGCCCCTCGCTAAGCCCACCCGTGTGATCCCGCCGTGACGCATCATCCTCAGGAGAAACGCCATGATGTCAAGGTCAGATCTTCGGCTGTTATTATCCTATAGAGTTTATTACATTCTATATTTCTATGCTAGTTAGTGTGATGCCCTGGTGCTGATTGCCCAATGCTGAAGTGTAAATTGCTCCCCTGTGACATCCAGGTTTGCCCACTTAGGGAAGAGCAGAAAACTTGCTCAAGCCCTTTTGGTCTCCTCAAAACCCAACACTGCTACTGGCCAAAACATTACCTCAAGCTTTGCATTTGGTTTGGGTTATTCCAGCAGGGCCTTTTTGCATGGGAGGGTTCATAATGGTCCAAGCACCTCCTACATGCTGGGAAGAGCAAATGATGGCTTACACTGGAGCACTGGTGTGAGGAAGTTCTCAATTCTTTCGTCCTGTAGCAAGAATGCATTTCAGAGTCAACTTGCTTGGAAGCGACTTGTGGCAATGGGTTCTCATGCACCAAAAGCATCTCCATTTTTGAATAGGGTTGCTTGTGCCATTGTCTTGGCTGTGAGTAGGTCTAATATAGCTCCTTACCTCGTTGCTTTCATTGCGGGAGAGGTAATGCTAGCTCAGAAGACATCTGCAGATGGTGAATACTACCCTATACGTGAGCGAGCTCAGGATGGCCGTATTTACGTTACCTCTCTAATATATTCGGCAGTAGAGCTGGTTATTATAATCTTCAGATCAATATATTTGGCATTGCTGTTCACTCCGAGTATACTGATGGCCCCATTTGCAGAGACTCTTGGCAGTAAGTATAGGAAAACATGGCTTCGGCTTGTCCATCGTACTTTGGAGCTTGCCGGTCCTGCGTTTATCAAATGGGGGCAATGGGCTGCAACACGCCCTGATCTGTTTCCAAGTGACCTTTGTACTGAATTGTCAAAGCTGCACACAAAAGCACCAGCTCACAGCTTTAAGTATACCAAGAAAACTGTTGAGAAAGCTTTTGGTCGAAAGCTATCAGACATTTTTGAGAATTTTGAAGAGAACCCTGTTGCATCTGGAAGTGTTGCTCAAGTGCATCGAGCTGTTTTACGATTCCGGTATCCCAATCAGCAGACAAAGCGTGTAACAGTTGCAGTAAAAGTAAGACATCCTGGTGTAGGAGACTCGATAAGAAGGGATTTCAATATCATCAATGCAGTAGCAAAAATTTCTAGATATATCCCCACACTGAATTGGTTGCGCTTGGATGAGAGTGTACAACAGTTTGCTGTCTTCATGATGTCTCAAGTTGACCTTGCAAGGGAAGCTGCTCACCTGAGCCGGTTTATCTACAACTTCCGAAGGTGGAAGGATGTATCTTTCCCAAGACCTCTTTATCCACTTGTTCATCCTGCTGTTTTGGTCGAGACTTACGAGCATGGGGAGAGTGTATCACACTATGTTGATGACCTTGAGGGACATGATCGAATTAAAAGTGCTCTGGCCCATATTGGCACTCATGCTCTCTTGAAAATGCTACTGGTAATGTATTTTTAGACATATCGTAGCATCCTCATTCAGTATATATGACTACCTAATTTGAACAACTGAAGAAATTAGTACTATGCGAAATCTGGATTATATGTTGTAAAGATTGAAGAGACTTCAATATTTTATTTATGCATCAAAATGACACTTTTTGCTGCTTTGTCCTGGAAAATAATTGCTATAAGAGATTACTAATTCTGGATTCAAGATTGTGAGCCCACCGATAAAATTTCTGAAGCAAACATATCTATTGCAGGCTTTTTAGCATAGTTATTCATAGGTATATATATTTTTTTTTACTTTTTTAGAGCTTGTATTTACAGCTAACATTTTTGGTCATTCTGTGTCCTTTTACAGGTTGATAATTTCGTCCATGCAGATATGCACCCAGGAAATATTTTAGTCCGTGTTGTACAACCAAAGAACTCAAATAGCACCCTTATAAAGTCAAGGCCACATGTAGTCTTCCTGGATGTAGGAATGACTGCTGAACTTTCAAGTAATGACCGTGTGAATTTACTCGAGTTCTTCAAGGCTGTTGCTCGCCGAGATGGTCGTACAGCTGCAGAAAGTACTCTAAAGTTGTCAAAACAACAGAATTGCCCAAATCCAAGAGCTTTTATTGAGGTAATTTATCGCTACCTTACAACTAGTCTTTTTGTTGGTGATAGAAACTTGGATTTTATTGGCGAGGATTCTCTCTCCTTTTCCATGATAAAGCAGGCCATACTACTGTAATTGGTGGCCTGTAGCATTTACCTTCAATTTCACAAAATGTATCTGCACAATATAGATTACCAGCAGAAACTGGAGATGACAATTTTTCTTTGAATTTATAGGTTGCTACGACATGGTTTAGGGTCAGGAAAGTGCCAATTTGGTGCTTCCTCTGTTTTGTTACGTATGTTTATTTTCTTGGACTGGATAGTACTGTTGTTCTCAATGTAACTCCAATTTTGTCCACACTCAAACTCCTTTATTGATGCTATGAAAGAGGTTCAGCGGTCAGAGTCATTAATGGGCGAACATTTGGTCCAATCTCATTAGCCGTGTTGTATATTTGCCTATTTGTTGTCTCGATCTGTAATCTGTTCCTGCAATGGGAATGGTCTCATTACAAAAGAGGGAATATTATCAGAGGTGGTGTCACAAAGCCTGAGGTTCTAGGAAAATAATAATAATAATAAAATCGAAGCTGATTCATTGATTTTGATGCTGTGTGGACATGCGGTAGTCTCTGATGCATGCACATTTGGTCTGATATGTGGCCTTATGCTGCCACAGAAATTATATTCTACCCTTAAAGTTTGTCAGTAAAATATCATATTTGGATGGACAAATTTGATGGTAAAAAGTGACACCCCAGATGCACTATAATGTGCCAGAACTCAATGTTGGATACTCTTTCCTATGTATTTTTGTGCAATCTCATCAGTGACCAGTAACTCTTCTCTTTTGATGAAAATGGCAATTGCAAATGATAGTTGTGTTAATTTATTTTTATGATTGTGATTGTTGAGAATTCGTAACTTAATTTATGCTACAGGAAATTGAACGATCATTCTCTTTTTGGGGCACTGCTGAAGGTGATGCTGTCCACCCAGCTGAGTGTATGCACCAGCTGCTTGAGCAAGTTCGACGTCACAAAGTGAATATCGATGGCAATGTTTGTACTGTCATGGTGACTACATTAGTTCTTGAGGTGACTTACATGACTTGTTTTTACTTCACCAAAATTTACTCTCAGATTACTCTTTTTTGATTTGGAGAGCTTTAAGCCAACTTAGCCATGTTTGTGTTATAAACTCTGCATTGTTTTTGCAATTTTGACTCCACATCTTGCTCCTCCTGTAGTTTTTTTATTTGTCTAATTTCCA